CCCCTGCGGCCTGCGCCCCAGGCCTCGGCGGCTCCAGTGAGAGCTGCTGCCGCCCCAGCCCCCACGCGGCCCCTGGGGTGGTCTAGAGGGAGTGGGCAGAGGGGTCCCGGCCAGGGCTTCCGCAGCTCCCGGCCTGCTGCTGCCATCCCGCCAAAGCTGCTGCCGCGCCCGCCCTGGCCCCAGTCATGAAGCTGCCCAAGGGGGCCCGGAACGCCGTGTTCTATGCACAGCACCCCGAGGAGGAGGTGCAGGTGCCCACCCGGCAGGAGGTCAAGCAGACCCCCATCATCATGGCTCTGATCAAAGGTGAGAACCCGCGTGGGCTGGGCCTGCTCCTTCCTGCAGTGCTGCCGGGGTCCCTGCTATCCAGTCCTGCCTCCAGCCGAGCCCGAAGCCCCTCAGACCCTCCTGGAAGTCGTGCAGGAGACCTGGGAGGAGGGGAGGCCGGGATGCATGGCAAGGCCGGTTTTGGGAAAAGCCATGCTCTGGTTTCATCATGTCCCTCAGTCTCACTCTCCAGGGTGGATGAGCTGATTCTTACTACGCTGTGAGTGACTGCCTATCGCTCCAGGTTTGGGGGGGCGGCTCGGTGAGTGATTACATGCTCGGTTCTGGGCTGTCATCTCAGACTTCTCACGTTACCTGCTTGCAGGACTTTGGCAGGTCGGAATTGCTAAGCCTCAGTGTTTCCATCCGGGAGATGGAAAATGGCACGTCTCCCGCAGGCTCCTTGGGAGGCGGCGCCAGAGGAATCCGTGTCAGCGCTTGGCTTAGTGCCCAGCACACAGCCTCATGGCTGGAAGGGTTACCTTTCTTATTTTCTTTTTAAAATTTGCTTGAGGCCTCACGTGCTCACAGAGACGGAGAAGAAGAGAGGGAAAGCGAGAGTTCAGCCCTCAGGGCAGACGGCCCCGCTGTAGTCTCTCCCTCCAGTCTCCTCCGGGGTCTTGGGCACGCATGCACACATCCCTGGTGTTTTTCAAGTCGCCAGGCCTGGGATTCGAACCATGTAGACGGTCATGTGGGATCCGTTGCCTGAAGCACCACGCCGCTGGTTGGCCCGGGACTACCTTCATTAAACACTCTCTGTCTGAGGGGAACTGTGCTTTATTCAGGAATGCTGCCCTCCGATGGACGGTGGAATTGGTGGCGGCGGCAGGGTGGCGGTGGCGAGGTTGGCAGTGGTGGGGTGGCTGGGATTCGAACCATGTAGACGGTCATGTGGGATCCGTTGCCTGAAGCACCACGCCGCTGGTTGGCCCGGGACTACCTTCATTAAACACTCTCTGTCTGAGGGGAACTGTGCTTTATTCAGGAATGCTGCCCTCCGATGGACGGTGGAATTGGTGGCGGCGGCAGGGTGGCGGTGGCGAGGTTGGCAGTGGTGGGGTGGCTGCGGTGGGGTAGCCA